CCACCACCACCACCATAACCATCACCACCAGCTATGTGAACTCAGTCCATACTTGTCCTCGTTTAGATCGCGCATTCACCTCCCACGTCGGCCTGGTCGGCCACTTGCGAATCCACCGCACAGAGACAATGGTGAACCAGTGCCTGGAGCACCCACATACACTCAACCTCTCCATCTCAACTGCCCTCAGTGCCCTAACAAATTCAGCCACCGCATGAGCCTATTAGGTCACTTGCGCATCCGCGAAAACCTGCGGTACACCACTGCCGACTATGCCACACCATCACACCTTCCCCGATCAGCATATACGTCGCACATCAAAATCATCCATCGTCACAAAACGCAAACGCTCAAATTATACCTTTCACTTAAGCGGAAATTGTGCGTTTCGGCTTATTCTTCACGTGGCTACACGGCTGTTTTTGTGATCCCAGTATGAGATTATCATGGTGCCCCAAGTGCCGTGGCTTAGAGGGCTGCTGACTGACGATTCAATTCTGGCTACTCAGTCTGTTCAGTTGTGTGTGTGTGTGTTTGTGTGGAGTGGCGGACTGGTGGGCTGAGAGTCAGGCTGCAACGACCGCATCTTAACGTGACTTCTTGTGCTCTCACTCATGTGAGGAGTGTGTGTACTTTATGGGTAGTGCCTTTCAACAGATGACCGACTGGTTACCCAGACTTTGATTAGTAATGACCCTGGCTAAATGCAGGACTGCGTGTCACCCTTCTCGGCCTTAAGGATTGTGAGCCTCTGTTATGCCATGATGGGCAAATCATGGCCCTCGCAATCTGGTGTTTACTGGCAGTTCTCTGCCACCTGGTTCCCTGCCGGTAGATGGCCTTGCGCCCCCGCTGGGTATACAGGTGGTGGGCATGGCTGCTCAGTCATCCTCATCTTTCTGACCCATTGTGTGCTGTTGTTGTTGTTAAAATGCTGGGCAAGTGTTTGTTGTGAACCAGGGATGTGTTGTAGTACGCCTAGGTGTGGGTTTGGCCGTGACACCCACCTGCGCCTTCTCCCCCCTTCGGTCTTCTTGACTATGTCTTGACACCGGGCCCAGGCGGGGCAGGAGGAGAGAGTGCGGTAGATGCTGCACAAGTCCACTCCCACTATAAACTAATTCACCCGCAAGTCATCATGCCTGCTCTCAACTTGCTGTGGAGCAGACGCCGAACATCGTCGATTGAGACTGTCGAGCTGTCGTTTGTTCCAACGATCGACTACTCACCCTTCTTTTCTGTTTCCGAGCTGTTTGTTTGTTGCTCCACACGGGGACTGCGGCCGTTGGAGAGAGAGAGAGAGAGCGCGATCACATAGGTTACACCATAGACGCACCATCCGCTCAGATGTTGGGTCTGGTGTGCTTGCCTAATTAGTTGTCAATCGAAAATTATGCGCAAACTTAACGAAGAGTTGGAGGGCTTGGCTTTTAGCCTCGTATGCGCTTGGAAGACACGCACGTGTACACATTATGCTCGAGGAATGGTCCACAGGGTGACCCCAGTCACTGCGACCATCAGACTCCGTTCCGAAGAAAAGAGGTTGGATGCCAGTTGGGAAGATGTTGTATTCTGTACAGGACTATGACAGAAGACGTCGGAAGGAGTCGGTAGTCGGAGGCGGGCACACCCGACGCCGCGATAGCGGCGTCCGCCATTGTGAGACAGTGGGACAGTCGTTCAGCGCCTTCAGCGAGGTCAGCCTCGAAGTCCATTGGTCAGTCTGGACAGCCGGCATTGGCCGAGAACCAGACGGCAATTGGTACGCAAACACAAGTAGTCGCGGGGGCTACGCGTTGCTACATGCGCCGGGTGTTGCGCCACTACAGTTTGCCCCTCGTAAGTAATTCTACTATCAGTGTAGCAAGCTGCAAAACGCCTTCACAAAGTGTGGCAAGTTTCAAAGAAGATTCTTTCTGGTCGGCCACGAGCGGTGTGCCGTGTGTTGCTGACTTATGTATGGTCTGTCAAACATCACTGCCAATTATTATTCAGATGCAGTTGTTTGTTCTGAGAGGTCCACACCGGATGAGATGTGATTCAAGCCATTTAAAGTCAATAGTCGACCTTAACGATCCCGAGACCCAGAGGGTCGGGTGGGAAATTATACGGTCAGAGGTGGTAGGGGGCGCTCACCGATCGTTCTTACGGAATTCACTCGTTCCGTTGTTCCAAGTGGGGGCCAGACGTGGTTATGTAGCCCCACCTGAAGTGAACAGACCCAGCCACCTGTAATACGGGACCGGTTGTAATAGGCGTTCTTACAGGTGGGGCCGGGGAACGCACAGATGACGAGGTCGAATAGTTGTACGCAAAAGAGGAGTTACTGGGAATGCGCGGTTGTACTTTGAGTGGTTGAGAACTAGTTGCCCTAACCCCAACTCGAACACTAAACCTAACCCTAACCGACAACCCAAACCCCTGACCATAATCCTTGACCCCTAACCCCAACTCGAACGGTATTGTGTCCATCAGGTGGGGCTACACAACCACATCTTACCAATTAAATTTGCTAGAACTGAGGATGCATAAAAATCCTATTGAGGGAGGGAAAACTGTACATAGAGGAGAGCCCCAACGACAACTGACGGCTGAGTATGGTCGAATCAAATAAAACTTGGAGTAACGAAAAAGATGAGGGAGATTTCTGTCTTATTTGCTGTCGTCAGCCAGACGTACGCAACCTGTAATTTAGAGTCGAGCTCTTTGGCCATTGAGCACTAAGTCCACCGCTGATTCGCATACTTATTCTGCTCGCTAAAATCGTACAGGTTTAACATGAACCGCTTGTCCCAGACAGCATAAGTGACAGAGTTAGCTGCCCAGGCATTCGGAAAATCTGTGCGATTGCGGATGGGATGGACGGCAACCGCCGACAAGGATAAAAAACACTGAACTGCCAACTTCTGCCGCTATCACTCAGCCGTACCCCAATGCCAGGTCGAGGAGAACGCACATTTCATCTAAGGTATACTTTTTCATCAAACGTTTTGATCCCAAGCGCTCAACCGCCTAGACACCGGGCTCATGCCCTGTAGACGGTAGTTTGGGAGTACTTAATGTCACTTGAAAGTGGCCATTGACCGATCCGACTAAAAATTTCAGCACTCTTCTTTGTTGACGCTCCCACCACGCTGTTAACTGCTTCTCGCTGCGGGACCACCAGTGAGTGTTCCAAGTTGGACCTCCAAGGCCAGTCGTGGAGGTCAGGTTCCTTCCAACAAGGAGGCCTACAATGCACTGACCCTTCGCGACTAAAAAAAATCGGCCGTCTTTCGAGATCCGAATCACAACGTTTCCTGCTGGACTTGTTTTTGTGCAGGTTAGTTGGAGTTTTCTGTCCGGCAGACGCAAAACAATGTAAGTTCCTGTCTATGCAGGACGCTTACCGTTTCAGAACCACTCACGTAGGGAAATGCAACCTTCAACAACATCAAGAATAGATAACTGGCTTCTAAACGTGAAAAATAGTGAAACCAAGTGTCTCATTACTGACGACCTTCCAGTACTAATTTTCCTCGCTTGCGTGTTCTGACCCCCTTCCCCCCCATCTCCAGCCGAATGTGCTCTGTTCTCTGCGGCCTTATGTCGAAGTCTACTTCCAATGCAGAAGCTAGTGAATTTGTCGTTGTTTTGTCAAGGGCAGCTGTCACCTGTGTCACGGTAGCGTGGTATGAGACTTCTGCTTAAGGCACCTGACCGGCGAAATGGAGTTCGCACATCATCTTTCCTACCCTCTCCTTCCCTCCATAATAAAAAGGAGTTAAAGGGTCATGAGAGGTACTTGGGCTTCTGCAGTGGCCGCTCACATCCAACCTGCGCATTCCCTAATACATCCTCCCTATCCGAACTTGGCGTATTCGTGTGGTTGCATTAGCCTTCAAAGTCACCCGCCTCCAGAGCTGAGGATGGACCCGTCTCCCAACCCTCAACAGCCCCGACAGCATTACCTGCACACAATGACGATGTAGGCGCCATAAACTGCTCGCAAACAACGCGCGGAAATTGCAAGCGGTCACCGCCAGCTTTTGGCATGCTCAATAGGGTCAGTGTGCAATTGGCGATTACAAGAGGTCGTGACCGACGAGAGCAAGTTGAGGAAAGCCAACGTGCGCGCCGACTCACTCAATTGGTTAGTTTATGCATTACCCGGAGCCAATCAGCGTAGGCGAAAGTCCTGGCGCGATCTGCCAACACTTGAAAGTGCAACAGTAGGTAGGCCTTTCTGCGTGACAAATGT